CTATGAGTCGGAAACGACTCGACGGCACTTAACAACAACAACAAACAACAATAGAAAAAATCAAGGCATCTGTGCCTGAGGCATCTGACTGCTAACCAGAAGGTTGGTGGTTCAAACCCATTAGCCACTCTGCGGAAGCAAGACTGGGCAATCTACTTCTATAAAGATTTACTGCCTTGGGAACCCAACGGGGGTCACTATGAGTCAGAATCAACTTGATGGCAGTGGGTTTGGTTTTGGTTAATAGTAAAAGCCTAGACTGCCTTGAAAAGACTGGTTGGAATTATGGACATCAAAGGCAATTCTAGTGAGGGCTCAAAAGGATGTGATCAACATTGGAGATGGTGCATATGGTGAGAAGCAATGGAAGAAAAATGACAGCAGCAGAACAAGGAGACCAGCATGAGATGGTGTAGGAACCAATCCATGGAGCAAGAGCTGACTATCTTCAGGTAGAAGGCTTCCTGGAGGAATAGAGTATCTTGGAGCACTTGTTGACAGAGGCAGGCTTACTGACCTACAAAGTTAGAGAGCTTAGTGCCTTTGGGCTGAGGCTGGTGGAGTGGGATGCCCTGGGGACTTACTGGCAGAGCTAAAGTACTTTGGAACACTTGCCTAAGCAGAGCAGAGGCTGGGCCAACCCAAGAAGCTAAGAGGCCAAGGAACCAGAAACCAAAGAAACAAAGAACATGGAAACAGAGCTGTCTCAGTGTCAAAGGGTAAGGCCACAGTTGACTTGGTTTAAAAAAGTTGGACTTCTACCAAATTGATTCAAATGTATGGGGCTGCCATTCATGAGTGCCAGGAGGATGGGACCAGATCCACTGCCCAAAGCTGAGGGAGTGGGCTGCCATGCCCAATGGCCAGAAGAACAGGACCTGCTGGGGCAAAAGGGGTAGGGTTGCCACGCAGTTGGACTAGGAGAATGGAGCAACCCAAAGCAAAGGGAGTAGAGCAGTTTTCCCAGTGGGCCTGAAAGGTAGAGCCAAAGCCCAGACAGAGTCAAGGAGCCCCTACCCAGAATCCAGAGAACATGGCCAACACCCAGACTCTGGAGGTAGGGCCACTGTCCAAGATGGTCTCAGACAACAGAGAATTATTTTCAAGCCTTGAGTAATATAAATTGTTCTAGTAGGTTTATAGACTTGGTTGGTGCCTGTTATTTCTCCTATTTGTAATGGAAATGTCTCCCTTGTGCCTCTTCCACCACTATATTTTGGAAACATATAAATTGCATTCTAGATTTTACAGGTTCACAGATGAAGAATAATTTTGGCCCAGAAAATACTGGATTTGGCATTGCTTTAAGACTTACGGGACAATATGATGGGATGTGTTTTACATGTCACAAGGACATGAATTTTGGGAGGACAAAGTGTAGAGTGTTATGAATTGAACTGTGTTCCTCAAAATGTGTCAAATTGGTTAGGCCATGATTCTCAGTACTATGTAACTATCCTCTATTTTGTGATCTGATGTAATTTATCTTACATGATGTAAATACTAACCTCTCTATGTTGTTATTGAAGCAGAATCAGAGGCAGCTATGTTAATGAATCAGGATACAATCTATAGGATTTGTATCTTGAATCAATCTCTTTTGAAAAAGGAGAGATTAAACAAGCAAGCAGATATCAGGGGGATCTACTGCCACCAAAAAAAAAGAGCCAAGAGCAAAGTACATCCTCTGGACCCAGGGTCCCCGTGCTGAGACCTTCCAGACACAGGGGAAGATTAATGCCACATGAAGATCACGTAGAAGCAGAAGTTAAGAGACAAGGACCTTCTTCCAGTGCCAACAGAGGGACAGCATTATCCTAAAGGCAGTACCCTGTATTTGGACTTCTAGCCTCCTGAAAATAAATTTGTTAAAGCCATATACTTATGGTACTTCTGTTACAGCAGCAGGAGATTACTCAGACTCACTATTCAAACCAGGAAATGGTTATATTCCAGAATGATGTTCATATCAAGAAAGTAACCAAGAGCAAATGAAGGTGTTTAAATATAAAATAATTTCACAAATAATGAAATGAATGGACTGTTTCTACTATAAGCTAGATTTAGGTACAGATTATAAATTTACCTCCATTGTGTGTGTCTTCCCAGAAGACGTCTGTCCATATGCAAATATTGTTCCATTGTATCCCTCAAGCACATCTATGAGAAAATAAAGATTTTATATTTCAGAATGTTATACAAAAACATAGCATGTCTGCCCTCAGTAATACAGAAAACATCCTAAAAGATTTCATACACATACAATCCTATTCCTCACCCCTGCAAAAAATATATCTTTGTAGGATAGTGAGAAAGATTCTTATTTGCTTTACATTTATATGAAAGACTCTATCAAAGTTTAATACATAAAAGGTTTACAAGATATTAAAGGAAATAAACAGGAATACATTTAATAGTAATTTTCTTAGTGATGATTCATCTAAGTAATTACTTTATCTCAGGCCTAGATTAGTTTCTGTGGTAAACAGAAACAAATTTTAAACTACACTGCTGATAAGTATCTCTTATGTCAGTGTATACATCTATATTCCAAAGTTGTATGTGACTTAAAATAAAATTCTAGTCCTTTGTGTACCTCAAGTACAACTGGTAAGAGAATAAAAGAAAGTGTTATGGAATTAGGGGATCTTTTGATTTCCAGTGTCTATGGATTTTGTTTATTGTTTTTCGTGACAAGAAAGGCCCTATGAAATTACATTCTGGAGGGAGCCTAAAGTAAAAAGAGAAGATGGTGAGAATGGAAAGAACAGCAGGAAGCAAGCAAATACTTGGTTTTTTATTGATTGTTTTTTAGAAAAGGAAGAGAAAAAAGAAAAAGGATGATCCCAACACTGAGCACAACTAACTAGGTAAGAGATTTCCTAAATAAACATTAACAAGAAAGGGCTTACTTACTTACTTACAGTACTTACTTCACTGGGAAGATTTTTACGACGACCCCAACATTTGAAATCTTCATTCAAAATAGCTTTTACTTTGTAAAAGGGATATTAACACTCAAAAACAAATGGGACTGAAACACTGTCAGCGATTCTGAATAAATCACCTGATTTTAAAAAAAAGGCACTAAACCCCTTGCAATTACCTGTTTTGTATTTATGTTTCTCAATGTTACTCCACTGCTTGAGATCTTTTAATCATTTACATAAAACTCAAGCATAAAATCCAAATTTTTGATAGTGGTGATAGCTGTGCAACATGATAAACACAATTAATGTCACTGAATTTTACTAAGAAAAAAATGCTGAAATGGCAAATGTTCTGTTACATATATTTTTACAAAAAAAAATAAAAATCCAATTTTTGTTAGACCTATAAAACGCCTATTAATGATATAACAGCAACTAACATAGTAAGTACTCAATAAATATGGTAGACTAATCAATAGAGTAAGGAGCTCTGGTGGCGTAGTGCACAGGCACTTGACTGCTAATCCGAGGGTCAGAGGTTCAAGGTACAAGTCACTACGCAGAAGGAAAATGGGTCGATCTACTTCCGTGAAGATAATAAAATGAGTGACTTTCCCAAGATCACATAGGGAGCACATGTATCAATGATACAGTACTGAAAACCAAAACCAAACCCTCTGCCATCAAGTCAATCCCAACATACAGTGACCCTACAGAACAAAGTAGAAATATCCCATAGGGTTTCCAAGGCTATCAATCTTTACAGAAGTAGAATGCCTTATCTTTTTCCCCATGGAGTGGCTGCTGAGTTTAAAATGCTGACCTTTTGGTTAGCAGCTGAATGCTTTAACAACTGAGCCACCAGAGCTTCTATGATACAATATAGTTAATGTGAAACTCTCATAGTATATAAAGGCTCCTAGATACTGCCTCGGAAACCCAAGGAGAGGTTGCTATGAGTTGGGCTGACTGGATGGCACTTAACAACAAACAACAGCAAGAAATGTACGTAACACACTTTTACCTTTTATTTAGAACTTTAAGTATAATTTTAAATAATAACAAAGATTGTGGAATATTCAACATTCAAATATTTACTGAGCACTCACTATGATCTAGGCTCTACTCTGATGCAATGAATTCAACAGTGACTATAGGTGATTTCTGGGTAGGTCATGTATTATTGTAGTAGTAACATTTTTTTCAATTAGGAGCATAATCACTTCACCTCGAATTTCAAATCCACTCCTGACTTGCTTTCTATAGTGATTTATCCCCTAAACATTCTATAAAAATTTTTAAACATAAAGAAAAGTTGAATGAATTAAATCAGGTACTTTTTGATCTGGTTCTTGTTTACATCTTCAGTTCTATCTCTCACCATCCTTACCCTCATATTCTATATTTTATTACACTGAGTCAAATGAAATTGCTGTTTTTTGGTGAAAATAGTCAAATTTTACAATTTTATATGGTTCAACCTAACAGTCATACCATAATGTTTGTTCCCCATACATACAATACACTGTTCTCATATGGGCATGCCTTAGCCCACGTGAGTCATCTCTGCCCAGAAAGCACCCCTTCTTTCTTTCTGTCTATGCTTAAGACTAGCCCAGGTTGACAGGGTTGTAATCACTTCTTGGTCACAGCCAGCTACCCACAGTGACCAAGTCATTGAACCGGTGGGTTTGGGACCACAGTCGCAGGGGACATCAAGCTCAATTGGCATAACATACTACACCAAGCATTGTTCCACCTCCTACTTTGACGAGTAGGGACTGGCATCTTAAAAGCTTGTAAACAGACATCTAGATGCAACGGTAAGTCTTTCCTCATCCAGAGCAATGAAGAAAGCAGACAACCAAAGATTTATGGAAACAATTAGTCCTATCAACTTGTACACAATGCGATCCACAGCCTATACGACTATGAGACCAGAAGAACTAGATGGTGCCCAGCTACTACTGTCAACCACTTGGAAGGGGAATCTGTGTAGGGGATCTTGGACAGAGAGGGAGAACAATGTGGAACAAAACTTATTATCATTTGGCGGGGGGACCAGGTTTGCTGGTCTGATAGAGCCCAGTAGAACCCCTGAGACCATGGCTCCTAGCTGCCCTTCAGGTCTGGAATTGGGCCCACACTTGTGGCTTCCAGCCAAACAAAAGACAGGCATATGAGCTGAATATTTACCTGAGGTAAATACACTCCTTGGAGAGATCAATCATGGGAGAAAGAAGGGCTATTTGTGCAAGGGGAGACAGCTCGAGGGGTGGGAGTACATGGAGGGATGGATACAAGGAAGAGGTGACTGTGGGGAGGAAGTGGGAGGGAAGCTGTTGCACTGGGGTAAATTGTGGTCAATGTCATGAGACAAAGTGTATGTGAACTGTTGCATGGAAGATGAATTTGCTCTGTACATTTTCACCTAAATCACAATAAAAAAAAAAAAAAAAACAAACAGACAGACTAGCCCAGGCTGTATTTCTTCCTCCATAACCTGACCTCCCAAAAAATCTGAGTATGATTCCCATCCTATGTGTTCATATAGCATCTGCATTTACTCGTAACACTTATCACTGTGCATTATGACTGTCAATTTACTTGTCTGTCTTCCTCACCAACTTCTGGGACAACATCAAAGGGACTAATATTTGCATTATGAGGGAGAAAAACAACCATACTCACTGCCAGTGAGTCAATTCCGACTCACAGTAACCCCTCCTTTAGTTTCTAATGAAGTATCTCTCTTCTGAGGAGTAGCTGGTGGGTTTGAACTGCCAGCCTTCTGGTTAGCAGTCAAAAGCCTTAGGCATTATGCCACCAGAAAACTATTTGTATTATATTGTTGTTGTGCCGTCAAGTTGGACCCAACTCATAGCGATCCCTCCTTGGGTTTCTGAGGCAGTATCATTACGGAAGTAGATTGCCCCATCTTCCTTCCGAGGAGTGGCTGGTGGGTTTGAACTGCCAGCCTTCTGATTAGCAGTCAAGTGCCTTAGGCACTACGCTACCAGAGCTCCCCAATCTAAACTAGGTTATTATAAATTTAGGATGTTAAATGTAACCTCCATAGTAGCTGCAAAGAAGATATCTGAAAGAAAATGCATAGAGACTAAAGTTAATTAGTGGTTACCAAAGACTGATGGGAAGGAAAAATGGAAAGATATTGCTTAAGGAGTACTAAGTTTCTGTATGGGTGATGAAAAGCTTATAGAAATAGATAGTCGTGATGACTGCACAACATAATGAATGTAATTAATGTCACTGAATTATACACTTAAAAGCAATGAAAATGGAAAACGTTTTGTTTTATATATATAAATAGTAAAATCAATAACTAATGTAATCTTAGGCTATAATAACGACAAAAGTATGTCACAATCAAAGGAATGATCTGAAGCTACAACATGAGACAATACTGCCTGCTCTTCTTTGTTGTAGTCATTCATAGAATCACAAGCTAATACCCCCTAAATTTATGAGGATTTTAGTATCCAGTTCACTCTCTCTTGCCAGTGTCATTTCCTGTTACAAGTCTGATTTAAATGTCCACGAAGCAGATGAGTCTACTATAAACCTCTGGCCTCTCAGATACTTGACTGCATTTTCTCCATGACCTTGTCTGTCACTCCCTTAGACATCAATTCCATGGTCATACCTTAGATCTTTTCATTATTAACCAAATTACCTCCATATCTCAATTTCAAGTACCTACCTCCTATTATTTCTTCCAGTACCTTGATTCCAACAAATTTTGACCCCACTGAGATCTGTAATTGACTAATTCTACCACCTTTTCCTTAAATGAGGAGCTCTGGTGGCACAGTGCTCAAGGCATTTAACTGCTAACCAGAAGCTGGTAATTCAAACCCATCAGCCATTCTGCAGAAGGAAGATGGGGCATCGACTTCCAAAAAGATTTACCACGTCAGAAACCCAATGGGGGTCGCTTTGAGTCAGAAACGATTATAGCAGTGGGTTTGTTCTTCGTTTTTTTCCTTGAACCTCCTCCCTCATCCTAACTCTCTGTTATGACTTTGCTTCCTTATACCATGGACAAAACAGAGTTAACAATAGGAACATCTAATATCTTTCTCCCACTGTACCTATAAGCTTACTCGTACCCAAAAACTCTTGCTTTCTCTCCTTCTTTGTTAATGTATCTCTACTCATATCTAATCCCAACCACTCTGCTTTTTAACTGACTCAACTCCTCTCCCCTAGCGAATGCCATAAAACAGATTTTGTCTCAATCTAAGAAATACTTTTTAACAATAGAGCTGTCAAAAAAAAAAAAAGATAAATCACATAATAAAGTATTTAACTGTAAAATTCCTTAAAAAGGGATTGCTCCAGCAACAGAAAGTCCAGATACTCACTTAGCACCCCTCATATGTCTAAAGTTCTACAGTTTTAGAAAATACAAAATTGAAAAATACCCTACTATCGGGTAATAGTGGGAGCTCTGATAGCATAGTGCCTAAGGCACTTGACTGCTAACCAGAAAGCTGGTGGTTCAAACCTATGAGCCACTCCTCGGAAGGAAGGTTAGGCGATCTACTTCCGTAGCTGGAATGCACATGCTTTTCTCATCCTTGGTAACCCTTATTAAATTCCTCAGGAGTTTATTCCCTAACTGTAAAATAAGTCTTTAGGGAAAGAATAAGAAAGGAATGGAAAAATGGTAAAGACTGCCAATTTCTACTTCTTTTAGAAAGTCATCTAAGCTTATCTAGCCATTTTGTTTTCATTCTCGTGTTGTTTTATTTCTAGAACTGCTACCCCAGAAAATCTCCTGAGAATAAGAGAAACCCATTTTCCAAGAAGCATATAATGCAACAGTATTAACTCTTCTAATTATATATCACTAGGAGATCATAAACAAAATTTTACTTATTGCTAGAATAACTCAGTAGGTTAAATGTATTTACCTTTAACAATCTTCTTTGCACAGTCATTATACACTTGCTCTTGAGATGTACTTGACTGGAATACTCGATCAAATGCGTAAGGCTTGGACTGTAAAACAAGAAAAATAAGTGTTTCAACTCCGGAAATTAAAGGTGAACAGACATTTCTAAGTTCTTTTAAATATCTCATCATTCATTTAACCTTCAACAGGATGCCAACTATTCATTACTTCATGTCGCTGAATCTCTGAGTGACAGACACCTTAATCCACTGCCACTGAGTCAATGCTGACTCATAGCAACCCAGTAAGACAGGGTAGAACTATCCATAGGGTTTCCAAGGTTGGAAACCTTTTATGGAAGCAGACTGCTACATTCTCCCATGGAACAGTTAGTGGGTTCAGAAAACCATCGATCTTTAGGTTAGCAGCTGGGTGATTTAACCACTGTGTCACCACAGGTCCTGGAAGAGACCTTAGAGGTCACTAAGTACAAATCTTTGGGAGCTCTGGTAGCATAGTGGCTAAAAGCACTTGACTGCTAACCAGAAGGCTGGCGGTTCAAACCCACCAGCCACTCCTCGGATGGAAGGTTGGGCAATCCTACTTCCGTAGTGATGATACTGCCTCGGAAACCCAAGGAGGGGTCACTATGAGTCGGGGCCGACTCAACGGCAAACAACAACAAGAAGTACAAATCCACTATAAAACAAGCTTTATGATAACGAAAATGTCTGTTTTGGTCTTTTATGTATTCCAAGAGATTAACACAGTAATTAGCGCTATGTTAGACACTCAATATTGCTGAGTGAATTTCTGTGTACTATACATCTACTCTGCAGGTACTGAAATTGCATTTTAAACACCACTATCTTTTTAGAGACAAGAAAACTGGAAATCTGCAAGGTATAAAAGCCATTAATGACAGTATTCACAGCAATCATTCAGTTATTCAACAAATATTTATTGAGTGCCTGTTATGTAGCATTTACAAATGGTGAGTAAGACTTACTCTCTGCTTTAGTGGAGCTTAAGTAATAGTAGGACAGACAGACAAGTAACTAGAACGCTGATCCACGTAGCAAAATATAATAATAGTAAGGTAGGACAGAAGAATATCCAGAAACACTCTTGAGGAGGGTATGTTATGTGAGGACTGAAGTATAAGTAGTACTAGCGTAGTGCCTAAGGCACTTGACTGTTAACCAGAAGGCTGGCGATTCAAATCTACCAGCCATTCCTCGGAAGGCAGGTTGAGCAATCTACTTCCATAGTGATACCACCTCGGAAACCCAAGGAGGGGTCACTATGAGTTGGGTCCGACTCCACGGCACGTAACAACAAGTTCACTGCTGGAGTCCCTGGGTGGTACAAAGAGTTAACACTAGGCTGTTAACCCACAGGTTGAAAGTTCAAGTCCACCTGGCATTAACCACAACCAATACTTTCTCCATTCAAACAAGAAAAGAATAACTTATTAGTAACTTTATGGCTAGATCTCCACTTGTCTGATTTGAGCTGCAGTTAGTTGCCACCAAGTTGATGCCAACTTATGGCGACCCCTTGTGTGCAGAATAGAACTGCTCCATAGGGTTTTCAATGCTGTGACCTTTTGGAAGCAGATCTCCAGGCCTACCTTTCCTGGTGCCTCTGGGTGGGTGGGTTAAAATCACCAACCTGTCAGCTAGTAGTTGAGCATTTAACCATTTGTGCCACATAAGGACTCTCGACGATTCAGAAGTGGAAATTCTATTATTAGGGCTTCGATTTTCTCTATGAAATAATAGGAAAGGTTATCTATGTAGTAAAAACATTACAGAATGTTTCAGCGTTTTCAACAAAGTAGAGAGGGCATGAAAACAGGCATTTCAAAAAATGAGAACCTGATAATAAAAAAGAGGTAGTCTGAGAGGTAGTTTTGAGAGTCCAGTTGAGACTTCTAAGTGTCTTTATCTTCTGAGTTGTATGATTTTCTTAAAAAATGCTCAGCGACTTAGGTACAACAAATTACAGAGGCACAAAAGGCTTCTGGATTTTGTAAATAAGTGTCTTCTTGCTCTCTAGTCTCTTCTAAAGGAAAGGAAGGATGCTGGGTCCTAAAAAACAAAACCATCACAATCCTAGAATAAAATTCTTATAGAATATGGTACTTCTTAGCTTTTTAGCTGAAAAAGATCTCTTAATTTAGAAACTATACCATATAATTCCCCTCTCCAAAGCTTGGAGTTAACAATGAACCAGATACTCCCTAAAAAAGAGGCTATCAAAAGCCATTCTCAACTCCTTTTCCCTTGCTACCTCCCATTAGTTAGACTGGAAAGCCAAACACTCACTTCCATATATCCTTGCAACTAGTGGCCACAAGACCTAGTTCCGGATCTGCTGCGAAGTCTCTGCAAAGGGTTGTGTTTTCCTAATAGGAATCTTCTCAGCTGAAGCTGCCCCACCTCCTTCCTGGAATGAATGCCTAGACCTGCAGCATCCATCTTGCAAGCATGATAAATATGATGATGAAAAGTCAGTCAACAACCACAGATGACAAGATTTAAGAGTCAGGACCCTTGAAGTGAGTGGTAGCAGGAAGGGCCTATCTCAGACTTTTTGGTATGTGAGAAAAATAACTTCTTTATTCTTTAAGCTGCTATTAGTTGTTTGTTTTCCTTCTACAGTTGAAAGCACTCCTGACGGATATATTAAGATGACCTCATTTGGGCGTCAATCAATTAAAAATAGCCTCCATGCCTGATTATTCTTTAGCTATGACATACAAAAAAATGCTCTTTTGCTAAGATACTACTTAGACAATAACTCCAATTCTTTAGGTATGGCTTAAAAAAAAAAGACTATCATCTTAATGATTGTATGAGATATATTCATGGCAACTAATTTTATTTTTTTAAAAAAAACTTTTTACTGTGACTTGGGTGAAAGTTTACAGAGCAAATTCACTTCTATTCATCAATGGTAATCAATTTTGAAAACAAGTAAAAAAGCAATCAAAATAACCATCATTACTCAGAGATAAACCATTCTATTATTTTGCTATATTTTTCTATGGAAACGGAAAATAATTTTCCCTCTTCATTTATCCAGTGAACATTTATTTAGCACTTAAAAGATATTAGATATTGTGCTAGGAATAGAAAAAAATAACAGGTGTAACACAATTTTAGAAATGATATTTAGTACAGATTGTAGGGTTCAAAGAAAAGAGGTTAAAGCTGAGTTGAGTCTTGTATACTAAGTAATACTAACTTAATTGAAACGGAGATAGCCTGTGGCCCTAAAGAATTCACAACCTGGTAAAAATTCAAAAGGGGAGGAATCCAACCAAAATAAATATTTAATGATAAGTGTGTAAAAACTGAAGTGAAAGCAAAAAATTAAACATGAATTAAATCTAATCTTGCTTGTAAGAAACAAGTTAATCACTAAAAAACAGGCCAAAGTATGACGTCAACTACACCCTTTTAAAATAAGTCAAACAGTAAAATCTTACTAAATTAACACGTAAAGGTAGAAAGAAGTACCACTATTGCGCTTCAAGTAATATTTCAATTGTCACATCAACAAAATACTGCCCCAAAACCATTTGGAAAGAGCTGCCAAAAATAATTGGTAACAGTCAAGCCTGTCTTAAAAGTATTTTATGCAGCTGTTAACTAGCATCACCAATAACAGATATGCAAATTACCACTTCAACCTTATTAAAATGAGAATATTTGTGGACAAATATTGAAAGGTAATAGTCAAATATAAAACCAATTGTTGTTGTTGTTATGTGCCGTCGAGTCAGACCCAACTCATAGAAACCCCTCCTTGGGTTTCCGAGGCAGTATCACTATGGAAGTAGATTGTCCCATCTTCCTTCCGAGGAGTGGCTGGTGGGTTTGAATAGCCAGCCTTCTGGTTAGCAGTCAAATGCCTTAGGCACTATGCTACCAGAGCTCCTATAAAACCAATTAAGAATCCCCAAATCACAATAAAAAATAAAAAAATAAAAAATAAAAGCAGTTAAGGAGCTGGGACTTACTATTATTTATTTATTTCCCCCAGAAGTGTCTCATTGTTAAATAAAAAATTAATTTAAGTGCTTAGCATTAAGTTGACAAAATAGTCTTAGATTTAGTTCCAAAACCAAATTATAATCTTATTAAATAAGGCAAAAGTTTTGAGTGGAGATCTAGCCATAAAGTTACTGACTGCCTTGGCTTCCTGATCTGTGAAACATAAAAATTATTATTATTTTTTTTGCTTTTATAATAAAAGCATACTTTCTTAACTAATAATCTTTCAAATGAACAAATGAAAACTAAATATCTGGACACCATATTAAAAACCTGGCTCTTAACTGCCTCCATGAACAACTAACTGCCTCCTTTGTCCCAAGACCAGAAAGAAATGGATAGTGCATAGCGATCATTACAGAACATTTGGATCAAGAATTCCATAGCAGAATCGTGATCAAAAGGGGGAAAAACGCATAAACTCTAGACTTCTTGGAAGCATGAAATTTAGATGAACCTCTGAAACTACTGCCCTGAGATAATCTTTAAACCTTAATCCAAAACTATTCCAAGTCTTCTTAAAACTATAGTTTAGCTCAACTAGTAAAAATGTCTTGAGCATTATGCTCTTCAGATTACTATCTATACTGGATCATGATAACAGCAACTTGAAATATTAGATAAGCTTAAGGAGGCAGTGAATTTGTATTAATATAGGATGAACAAATCAGAAAAGGTAAGAATGGCTGCACAACTAGAAAAATGATACATGTAGAAACTGTTGCACTGTTGTGTTTTACTGGGTATATTCTCAACAGCAGCACCAAAATAATTTTTTTTTTTTTTTTAAATCTATGAGACCAAATGTTCAACAATTACTCTAAAGCAAAATGAAAAGATACCACCAGGATATTAGACCAACCAAACAGACGAGATCAAAAGGGCAGCAATTGTCCAGGTATAAAACTCAGAAGGCAGAAATGGATAGGAAAAAAGGACAAAGGAAAATGGTAACTACAGGGAGGAAAGTGAGAAGAGTGCCTTTAGATTGTGGGGACTATAATCAATTTAGGGAGCTCTGGTAGCATAGTGGCTAAAGCACTTGACTGCTAACCAGAAGGCTGGCGGTTCAAACCCACCAGCCACTCCTCGGAAGGAAGGCTGGGCAATCCTACTTCCGTAGTGATACTGCCTCGGAAACCCAAGGAGGGGTCGCTATGAGTCGGGGCCGACTTGACGGCACATAACAACAACAACAACACAACATTATCAATTTAAGAAAATAAAATGTATGAACTGTAGAACGGAAAACCAATTTACTCTGTAAACCTTTATCCAAATCACAATAAAAAGTTAAAAATAAATAATTAAAAAAGAAAAGGTAAGAGGATAAGAAAACCAGATTACTGGAAGTAAAACACCCAGAATAGAGCAAATGAGAATGTTGCCACATTGTGAAAAACGTAATCAATACGTCTGAACAATTTGTATGCTGCTGTTGCTGTTATGTGCCGTTGAGTCCGAGAGTCCGACCCGACTCATAGCGACCCCTCCTTGGGTTGCTGACCCCTCCTTGGGTTGCGAAGGCAGTATCACTACGGAAGTAAATTGCCCCACCTTCCTTCCGAGGAATGGCTAGTGGGTTTGAACCACAAGCCTTCTGTTTAGCAGTCAAGTGCCTTAGGCACTATGCTACCAGAGCTCCCAAACAATTTGCATGTACTTGTTAAATGGTAACAATTTGCTGTGTAAACTTTCATTGAAAACACCTGTTATTTAAAAGGCAGAAGAAATAAAAACCTGGTTCTTAGTTTAGAAATGTATATTATGCAATGTATGTGTGTGTGATACTCTATGTATGTGTGATACTTAAAGTTTCAGGTCCCAATTTTACAAACTCTAAGTCACAAGATGGATTCATACCTGATTTAGGCATCAAGGGACAAAAGCAAATAGGAGTAACTTTATTTTCTGAACTGCAACCATACCTTAGGTTTCTTAAATGAAGTTATTCCTGTTTAAGTCTGCACAGGCAAAGCTGAACACCAAATAAGGTTATGAAGGACACCCTTCTGGCAGGGATATGCCTTCCTCTGGAATTTTGCACAGTGTGACCTTTTCACATTACATGGGATTATACCATATTAGATTTTCCTTAGTTAAACACTGATTGTAGGGTACCATTCCAGTAAATGGTATGTGACAGAGGCGCCCTCTCCTCGTTCAATCTTCACTCTTGGTATTAAGCAGGCTCAAACACTAAAACCATCATTCACTGCAAAAGGAGAACAGTGTTTTGCTTTAGGCAAGAAAACGACCAAGATGATCGAATTAGTTTAATTCTCCTCTAATTTTAAAAAACTACAATAGTCTGTTTTTGGTTCTGGCAACCTTTATAGTATGCCATACAATCAATGCTGATTAACACAGATACTTAATGATGTAGATGAGCATGTTCCACCTTTATAATGCAGAAACACAGAAAAAGTCATTTTTTCTACTGAATTTTCCTCATTTTCAGCAGGCTCACTGGAACTACATAATGGGTTTCTCTTGTTCTCCTTTTCTTTTGTGCATAAAAAGTTATTTCTAAAACTTCTGCTAAATAAAAATTAAAAAAATCCTGTCATTTGTTACCTATTTTCCTAAAACTGACCAAACTCCAAATTCCTTTTAAAGAAAACAGATTCTATGTATATCATTTAAAGGTTTTTATAAAATAACTTATTTCATTAATATGTGATATTTACAGCACTTCACCAAGCACTTAATTACAAATAAATCTGTGTAAAAGGCTGCAGAATACACAGAGGAACAATACAAAATTACAAGATGTGCTTGCAATGGGATTAATTACATTAAAATCACTGATTACATGAACAATAGCAAATATTTTTTAATGACAGTATTGGAAATTGAACTTACAAGAAAACTGGCACTCTTTGAAAACAATTCAGTTGTATATGCTGCACTGCAGCAACTCCCTCCTAAACATTATTTTGAATTAGGATTGGACTCACTATTCCCAAGTGATGATTTTACCTCCTAGTGATTTTCTAATTCTACTTCCCCAAGTGGCCTTTATAAATTCCCAATCTCCTTTTATTTATTTAATGTAGTTTGGGTGAAAGATTACGGAGCAAATTAGTTTTCCATTCAACAATTTATACACATTTTGTTTCCTGACATTACTTAAAATCTCCTCAATGTATCTTCCCTGGGATTCCCATTTCCATCCCAACCTTCTTTCACAATGCAAAATTACCTATTTAAAAACTGCACAAAAATATGAGACCTTGGAGTAAATAATGTACTTACTATTCACAAAAAATTAGGTCCTAAAAATAATGAACTGAACATGTTGCCTTACATTTTTTAAAGCTACTCAGTTGTAATATATTTTTGCATATACATGTATCAGACTAAAACACTTACCAGTTTACCATTCATTACTGATTCACAACTCAATTACCTATCTATTATTTCTAACATCGTCATTTAAATGTCTTTATATTATTAAGGAAAATCTGAAACAAAGAACAAATAATAACTCTTTCCAAAGGAAAGAACCTAGAATAAATGTATACTTCCCATGGCAACTACTTGTTTTCTTTTAGCTCTTTCCCCATATTAATGTCATATTTGGGCCACATCAGAAGGCTGACTTCTAACCTAATCTTAATACATTTTAGGAATGCTAAATGTTAGCATTTTAATAGAATCTTAGCAATACTTATAGGGTTTCATAAATACAAATGACATCTGGAGCAATAAGCCAAGTGTGAGGAAAATAACTTTGATGTGTCAACTACTGTTGAAGGTGAGTAATCACAAAAACTGTGAGAAATGAGCAGCCTCATGTTTGCTACCTAATAACCCAAGGATCCTCTGATTTTATGTAAAACATACCATCCTAAAGGAAAAGGATGACTATTTGGTCTCCGTATGATGTCACTTACAGCAAAAGTTTTTCTTGTGGACTTGTTAACAAATAATCAGCCTTACCATTTTCACACAGTAGTTGCTGCAGTTAGCAACCCAATGATTTGTCTGCCAAAAGCCTACCAAGCGTGACGTGGAGCTACGGCAGTCATTTGGAAACCTTTACATAAAGCCCTAAAGAACTTTAGTCCTGTCTTACATTTCAATGCTTTCCATCATGCATGTCCCATCTCTTATGATGTCTTTGCCCTACTTCTAAAGTAAATCACCCAAACAATACAGCAAATGAACATAGTAAATATTTGCACTGAAATGCAATGCTGAAACTAATGTTAGTTCTGCCACATGGCAAAAGAAATAAATTACCAAGAGAGGTGAATTTAATTTTCAACTATAGTTCACTGTTTTGTACACAACGTTACTACCCATTTTTAATCTTCTTGAACTGGGAATGCCATTTTTAGAGCTTTCAACACCAGAGATAAAACATCAACAAATCAACTTCACATTCTGGTCTCCCTGACAATGATCAGCCAACTCTAATTATGCTTTATCTTACAAAAGGACAGTATCTCATTATCCTTGGCATCAACAAAATCATTTTTTCTTCAAGTTAGATCTTAATTGTGTAAGTACATATCTAAAATACATTTTTTCTTATACACAAAAAAATTAACACTGTCCTAGAAGATTCCTCCGTAAAATCCATTAAGGGTGAGATTCTGGATCTTTCTGGGCACTTATTTGGCCTTGGCCCAATCTGGATCTGACAGATCAGATAAAATAATATTAAACAAAATCTATCAGTCCGATTTCAAAAGAAAACTCACTGTTCTTTTTTACTGTCCTCCATTCGCCAATTGTAATTATTCACATGAAGTCATTCATCACTCCAAAGGTGGGTGGGTGACATCTACGGTACACGTGTAAGTGTAACTCGTTATTCTCCTCCCGCAGGAGAAACAATATGGTTCAACATCTAGTTATAAGTTTCTGTAAGACTAGAATCTGTACTATTTAAAGTACTGCAGGGCCGATCTCATAGTTTCTAGGTGAGCTTATAAATTAACTTTATATATTTTATGAATGGTAAATTTGGACGCTGTCCAAAAGACAAACGGCATCAGCAACAGTTAACTGCGCACACACATCAACAAACGCAGATATGCACAAAATTTGCTCCCAGGACGGTTCTTCCACCGCCCCAGGTGGGGGAGTGTCCCAAGCTGAGACAAGGCACCTCCCGTCTCCAGACGTCTTAGATCCGGGTGGGAGCCATCCAGGAAAACCCTTGAGGGTTATCTGAACCGGCAAACCCCGCCCGCAAGGGTTGGGGACACTACAGTTCCCTCTCAACTTCTCACTCTGCCACTTCCCAGAACTCTGGGCCCGCTGAGGCCCAGAGAAGCGGACAGGGATAAGGGTGGGGGAATCACTCACCGCGATCATGACTGTTTCCTCTCCCTGAAACTTGGCTATGTACTTATCGCCGCGGTTCACCTCAGACTCATTGAGAGGTCTGAAGCGACACATCACTTTGATGTTGCATTCGGCCGGGTCCGCCATCTTCCTCGCTGCTGGGGCCAGAGGCCGGGAGCCACTCCCCGCCGCTCAGTCTTGAAGGAACCGTGCACAATCTAAGAGTCTGGGCTGGAAGCGTCAGCAAGCAGGGGTCGTGAGAGCAGTGGGATTCAGCAGTGCTCCGAGCAGTTCCTCCCAGGGCGAGGGCAGCCGGGAAGCGGACACTCGAAGCGCCGGCGCCGGCAGCCGTCGCCCTAAGGCTCACTTCCGATCCATCATGGCAGCCATGGAGGCAGCGGCACCGGTAAAGCGTCCCGCGACTCCTTAACTTTTTCCTCGCCTGCCAGGGCCGGCAGCAAAGCTGGGGTTTTCGAGACCGAGAAACTCGCCCACTCCTTCCTTCTCGGGAAGGAGGAGACCAGGCTAACAGTCTGGCCGCCCAGCTATTCGCTTACCGGCTCGCGGGCTACCGCCAGACCAGTCTTCAGGGCGCAGCCACGGCGATAGGGCGGTGGGTAGCCGGGAATGGGCGTTGCGAGCGAATGACAGCGCATGCGCCGTGGAGCCTAGGCGCTCGGGCGACCAATCCCCGCCTGCGTCCAACCGCCCACTAGGCGTATCCGCCTCCTGCGACCACGCTTACCCCGCGGCTTGCAAATTCAAGTTTCACTGGACGCTCACTTGAGAAGGTGCTTTTGGAAATTTGGCAGTTGCTCGCAATCTTCATCCCGTCGCCGAATTCCCTAGGACCAAAGCAGATGGGCTTAGCTTTCTTTGTGAGGGAAGGGGATCTATTATGATTACTTACTATTGTAGTTTGTTTAAATAAAATACTGTATTCTGAAAAGGAAGTGTTTACTTTCATTTTGGTCTAAGAAGAAACTTGATTCCTAGCCCTTTTTAGAGCGGGTTTCCAGAAAAAGGAAGAAGATTTGAATGAAGGGTGGGAGGTAGCTTTCTGATTTAAGCCGTTGCTCCTTGAGAGGGGGTTGGGGTAACAGGAATAAGAAAAAGGAAATTTCCCCTAAGGAATGTAGAAGGTTGCTGAAGAAATATGGACTGCTAGGGAGACGTGTGAGAACGCTTTCAGTGAACTAGAAGTCTGTATTATGGAAGATAATATATGGATCTTATCAACCCCAACCTCTGAAGCAATGGTGATGCTAGGGTTGATGTCACCCAGTGCGATAACTCACGGTGTCAGCCTCTCCCCCTACTATGAACATCTTCCTCTACCAGACGTTACCGAATCCTTAGTAATATTCATTAGCAATTTTAATAATAGAATATGTGATATAGTTGTAAATCTCTTAAATGTAATCTTTCTTAAGATTATATGAATACTAACAACAAACTTCCTTTGTAAAATCTTTCTACATTGAATTACATGATTAGTTACAACAAACTAAGCGGAAAACTTTTTTGATTTTTCTCCTTTTCCTTTAATTACTACTTCACTCTCAAAAAAAGTTGATAAAGGTTCACAAATACTACTTACCACAATATTGTAGTTAAAACACCAGAAAATTCAACACAGTCAACTATAAAAACAACAGCAGCAATGAAAACAACAGTGCCTGCTAGGAGCGCATTCAGAGGAATTCACATGATTCTAAGTGCCACTGGAAGTGGGTAATAATGACAGCTCTGACCAGAGCACATTTGAAAGTTCAAAAAGTGAATTCCCATAGTGTTTTAGCTTTGTAGGAATACTGACATATGTAAACTGGGCTTATGAAAAATGTTTTTGTTATAACCAATTATTGTTGTTGTTGTTGTTATGTGCCGCCGAGTCGGCCCCGACTCATAGCGACCCCTCCTTGGGTTTCCGAGGCAGTATCACTACGGAAGTA